AAGAAAAGAAAAGAAAAGAAAAGAAAAGAAAAGAAAAGGAAAAAGAAGGCAGCTGTCCCCAACCCAAGGAGAAAAGTCCCACCAAGCACCAACTCTGCTGGCACCTTGACCTTGGACTTCCAGTAGGCATCCAAAAGTATGAGTTTAAGCTACCCAGCTTATGGTATATTGTTATGGCAGCCCAAGCTAAGGCAGATGGTAACAGAAGGTTACTAGTTAACACATAAGATTGTGGCACCGCTCATATTATTTGTAGCTGTGGATGTGAGTAAAGTCAGAGGTGTCCCAAGTAGAGACCTCTGTCTCTTGGGAGGGAGACCCCGGAGTAAGGAGGTATTGGGCTGAGAACCGCCTTTTGTCATCAGCCTTTCAGTTCTCCAGGTATTTGACCATCCTACTGATTTCAGCTGATTCCCTAGAATTTTCTGGCTACGATACCCACAATAACAGTTTCGATGCTTTCCAATATTTATATGACTTGTTTGTGTTTCTTATGCCACATTAACTAGAATCTCCAGAACCATCTACCACATGACAGTGACCATCCTTATTCTATTCTACTTTATTTATTTTCATGTTTACATTTGTATGAGGTCTGTTGTTGACAGTTGATGGGTGCCCTTTATCAAGCTAAAGACTTTTATTTTTTAGGGAACTAAGGTTTCTTCTCCAACCTCCCTCATGAACAACAGGGTAATGAGCTCAGCTGAATGAATGTTTTGTATCTCCCTTTTAAAATGAAGTACAGTATTCCTAATATAGATGAACCTTTTGATGACCCAGGGTCATTATGAACATTGAATGTTTCAATTACTGCCTTGTGCTTTGGCAGGAGGCTGTGTGCCTCTACTCTTAATGGTACCAGATACACGTGCCTTTCTATGAAGAATTTTTTTTTAATGTTTACTTATTTTTGAGAGAGAGAAACAGAGACAGAAACAGAGTGTGAGTGGGGGAGGGGCAGAGAGACAGAGGGAGACACAGAATCCGAAGCAGGCTCCAGGCTCTGAGCTGTCAGCACAGAGCCTGATGCTGGGCTTGAACTCACGAACAGCGAGATCATGACCTGAGCTGAAGTCAGACACTTAACCGACTGAGCCACCCAGGCGCCCCTGAAGAACTTTTTTTTTTTTTAATTGAAATTGTCAGTGGTCACCTGTTGAGGCTCTCAATGAGCTGACTGCAACAGCGTTTCTCTGTCTCCTGTATGTACATGGCCCCCACACAAAGAAATCGGATGCCTTAGACTTCTAAAAATCACACTGAAAGACAAAAGAAGTTTGCTTGTGAGGCCTCTCCTGTGAAGTCAAGTCTATGAAGCCTGTGAACTTTGTGACAGCTACAGAAGAATTACCTGACGGCGGTGCTAAAGGGTCTCATTTAGTCGAACCTCCGCAGAGCATCTATTATGCGCCAGGAGTTTCTCTGGCACTGTTGGTGGGGCAGGAAATGCTACATTGCTATGGCAAACAGGTTGGCAGACTTCTTTCTGCTTTTAGCATTGACTGGCATGAGCATCGCTTACTGCATCTGTACATCAGCCTGGAAGACAGACAGGTGACTTGTGACGATCCACTAGGCTACTCTAGGAGCAAGGTACCAGCTGTTCCCAGCTGGCTTTGCCCAGGGGAACGGCATTGCTCCCGGCGTGAGCTCAGCACACCTCTAATGTACCTCACTGGGCTTTAAATCATTTACATACTTATTCCTTGCAGTGAAGGGGCACTGGATATCAGCTACTGGAGATGTCCTTGCTGTCCTCAGAGTAGGTACACGGATGGGTATTTAACTATAAACTGTGTGAGTCCTATGAAAGGAATGAGGCTGATGTGAAAATGTAAGGCATAAGGACCCAAGCATGGATGGTCAGAGGAAGTCTGAGATTTAATCAGTGCATGGGAGTCGACCAGGCCAAATCTGCACGGTAGCGGGAATGCTGACACTGCGATGACACCCCACCTGGCGCTGTGAATCTCCTGAGGTTCTGTCCTAACACAGGAAGATCAACAGCAAGTCCAGTTCCAGAAGAAGTTGATTCATGGCCCAGCACTGGATAGCTATCAGTCTCCAGACAGCATCCTCTCTCAAAGTCAACGCTCACTCTGAGGTGGTCTGAGGGTCAAAGAATGTTAGTGCTGGACGAGAAGTTCCGGAGATGCTCAGAAGCAACAAGCTTAGAATCACGAGGCTAGTTAGTGGTCAAAGCAGAATCAGCACGCAGCTGTGATTTCCAGTCTGGTGATGCTTTACTTTGTACTGTAATAAGGTCTTGATTTCTTCCTTCTCCTTCCCCACTCACTGTCTGGAGTGACGCTACCACTCATGGAAATTCAGACTGAGAGGCAGAGTATGTCTGGTGAGGAAATCACACACTCTGGAGTCAGCCTGCCTGCCTTCCACTCCCTGCTGCTGGGCAAATTACTGACCACAGCCTCAGTTTCCTTATCTGTAACATCGACACAGGGATATAGAGACTTTCCTTGCAGGGTGTGGGAAGACCACACAGTTAAGTAATACACGCACAACAACAATGCTAGGTGCCGTGTCTGTTATTACTATTATGCCAGTATTATTGGCAGGTTTACAAAGACTCAGGAGTACCTCCCCTCTTCCTTTCTTAGGTAAAGAGCAGCCTTTCTCTGTAGTTCAAAATCTTTACACTTGCATGGAGCCAAGGAGTCGTATCTATTGCCAGCTCCCTGGATGTGTGGCTTGAGCTTGAGGGCTCTCCTGTAAGCAATAATACCAACACGATGGTAGGCTGGGTGGACTGGGGGTGTTTGACCCTCAAGCTCTGTCCTCTCTGCCCAGTGTGGACACCTTCAATGTCACCATTATCGTGTCCTCTGCTCCTGTTTGGTTAAATGATACGATGCCATGGCCATATGATTTGGCAGAAAGAGTCAGGCTTTGAAGTCTTACCAGCTGTGTGACGGGACAGATTAATTTAGTTACCCAGGATTTACTGAGCACCTACTATATGCCCAAGCTCCAGGTAACAGCAATAGCATAGTATCTATTATGGAGTAAGGAAGTGCTTCTCGTGCCTTCCCTCATTTAACCCACATGATAACTAAAATAGCTTCTCACAACCATTTTATCATTTTATGGGGAAATTGAGGCACAGTGTGTTAACTAACAGTCCAAACTTTTAAATATTTTGCTATACAATAGCAGTATCATGCCCAAATCACTGAACTTATCTGTGTCTCAGTTTCTTCATCTGCAGTATAGGGATAACATGTATTTTACATGATGAGACAATATACTCTATAAAGGACAACTACTAGCATGAGTGATAACAGAAACAGAGTGGTTTGGCCAACCACAAACCTGCCCAGGAGGAATAGCCACATGCAGGGCTAAAAAGGCTGGTGTTGGAGACAGAGAAGCTGGCTCTTAGGCTGTGCTCTTTCTGTGTTAGGGATGCAGCATTACCTAGAATGTCACCAGCCAGCTCCACTCCACCCCCCCACCCCCCTCCAAGGTCCAAGTGTCTGGGCAGAAATAGGTTCTGGTAAAGTGAGCAGATGCCTTGATACAAACCCATCCCTGGTTCTGCAAACAAGATTCCCAGCAGCTGCCCACTAAGGCTGGGCCACTAGGGGGTGCCATCTTGAGGGTGGCATGGAAACTTTTTATCTATTAGTCTCTCAGATGACACATTGGTTCATTTTAAATAGGGAGAAGCAGAGGGGCACCTGGGTGGCCCAGTCAGTTGAGCATTGGGCTCCCTGCTGTCAGGGTGGAGCCTGCTTTGGATCCTCTGTCCCCTTCTCTCTCTGCCCCTCCCCCGTTGTGTGCTCTCTCTCAAAAATAAATTTAAAAAGCCTTAAAAAAAAACAAAACAAAAAAACGGGGACAAGTAGAAAGAAAATAGAGATAGCAGCTAATCCTATTTTCTCTGATGGTGTAAACACCCAATGCAGAGAGTATGCTTTTCACTCAATGAATTCCAAGAAATCCAGGAAGAAAGTTGATACATTACAGAGGTTGACATGAGAGCCATCTTGGGTCAGACACAGTGCCGGGTGCTCAGCGTCCAAAGGTGGGCAAGGCACGCTGTTGTTGTCCCAAGGAACGTACTGTCCAGTGTGAGACAAACACAATTCAGTTCAACTCTCCTTCACCAGGGTGTTTCGACCACGGCCTATGGCCACATGCAGCCCGCTGCCTGTATATAAAGCCCTTGAACACAGCCATGCTCATTAATCTGTATTATTTATGGCTGTTTTCATGCTACAGTGGCAGAGTACTATATGTGGCCTTCGGCTGCAAAACCTAAAGTCTTCGCTATCTGGCCTTTTACAGAAAAAAATTAGCCACTCCTGTTGACCAGCACACATACTGTCTGCCCAGGAAACACGCACACATGCACCTATATACATGTACTTAATATTTTTGGTTCCTGCATTGATTCAAACAAACCAGGTTATTAATCCCTTGAGCCAGAGGAGGTGATAGGATAAAAGCATGTACCCTTTCCCTGCACCTCAAAGAATTGCATCGTCCTCAGGCTGATTGCTGCCTGCACCTGCCGAGTATTTTCTTTATACAGTCAAAGGGATCTTTACTGGGCGCCTGGGTGGCTCAGTCGGTTAAGCGTCTGACTTCAGCTCAGGTCATGATCTCACAGTCTGTGAGTCCGAGCCCCGCGTCAGGCTCTGGGCTGACAGCTGGGAGCCTGGAGCCTGCTTCGGATTCTGTGTCTCCCTCTCTCTCTGCCCCTTCCCTGCTCATGCTCTGTCTCTCTCTGTCTCAAAAATAAGTAAAGACATTAAAAAAAAAAAAAAAAAAGGGATCTTTATGGCAGTCATCTCCATGCCCCTCCAGGATTGTAATGTAGCTCTTCTGTTCAGTAAGCATGTGACCTTCTCCACTTATCCAGTAGAGGGTGGCCAAACACTGCTTATGAAAGATTAAGGCCCTCTGATACCTGTTCCATGGAGAGACAGCAGAGTTTACCATCTGTCTGGATGAGTTCCTACACTTAAAGTGCATTCCACAGAGGTGGCGGGATGTGGAAGAATAAACTTGGTCTGGTATTCACTCACTTGAACCAGACATTGCCTAGAAACAGATCTGACAAGAAATGTAGCCAGCCAAATGAGATAAGGATTAATTAAGAGAAAGACTTGGAAGGACAAATTTAATCCCACAAGTTCATGGCCTTCTTTGTGTACCCCTATGAGATTTTTACTGCAGTGTATTTAATATTCTATAGGAGGGACTATGGGGAGTATCGACCAGCGAAATCAAGGGGCCTCAGACGCTGCTGATTCCCCTATAAGAAGCTTGGCCTCTTTGGGCCTCTTCTTCCCGATGTGGAAACGGGAAGAATGGGATAAGAAAACCAGTTCTCCAGTGGGCGTGGGGAGGCCAGCACATGGGAGGAGCATATCAAATCACCCGGGGTTTCACCCATGTGGTTTTCGTCCTACTTTCCATATACGCCGTGAGAGTGGGTGTCTCTCTCTGGCCCTCCTTGACCCCTCCTCAAATACGATTGTAGGAAACCCCTTGGTGCTCCGGAGCAAAACGAAGCTTCAGGCCTAGGTGTTGCTAAGAATTTGTGACTTAACCTTGCTTTTGCTTAGGACTTCAGTCTATGATCAACTAGATCTGCCCTGAGACAATACCTCGGGACCCCAATATTCCCAGAAGGAAATAGAATGCAAATACAGGGCTGGCTTTAAAATATGTCCACAGATTCCTTGACACGCCTCTCAAATGTAGGATCCTCTTGAATGTAGTGAATTGTCTCTGGTGAACAAAGTATGGCCGACATGATGCTATGTGACTTGGGAGGCTAAGTCATAAAGCCTACCTGCTGCTGTCTCAATATCGTGCTCCGGGGAAGTCAGTTGGTTAGCAGTCACGTTGTGAGGACATTTAGGCAGTCTTACAGAGAGGTCTACATGGAGAGGAACAGAGGCCACCCATCAGCAGCCAGCAGCTCCTTGCCAGCCAGGTGAGTGAGCCATCTTGGAAGTGGATTCTCCAGGCTCAGTCAAGCCTTCAATGACCAAAGCCCCAGATGACATCTGACTGAGCCTCAGGAAAACACCTGAGCCACAACCACCTGGCCAAGGTGATCTCGGACTCCTGACTTACAGAAACTGTGAGCGATAATAAATGTTTACTGTTCTTTGAAGCTAAGTTTGGGGGTGATTTGCTACATGGTAATAGATGACTAATACGCCAAGTTTCGGCCAATTTGGGCTCATACACAAGAGGCAGTGTAGTAGGTAGAATGGACAGAAGACCTAAGTTTGTCACGAACTTGCTGTGAGAGGAGAGGTAGGCCATTTCACCTCCGGGATCGGTTTGTAACCCCATAAGATGGGTACAGCACTAGCTAGGCTGCTCAGGGTTTCAAGGTGTTTTGTGATCTGCAAAGATCTAGGCGAACAGCAGTGACTACTGGTCTCATGTTTTTTTCTCCCAGGAAACATGACCTAATGCTCAGCATAGCTGGCAATTTGACAGTAAGGGTCCTAGCACACCTAGCTAGTGAAAAAAGGTTGGGGGTAGGGGTCTGTGCCCATAATTAGAACAGGATCAGGGTACAGAGGAACGACTGGAGCAGGAGTTGGTAGGCTTTTTCTGTAAAGGACCACATAGCAAACACTTTTGGCTTTTCGGGCCATATGGTCCCTGTCACAACTACTCAATTCTGCCACTGTAGCATGAAAGCGGCCACAGACATTATGCAAATGGATGGGAGTAACTGCGTACCACTAAAACTGTATTTATAAAACAGGCAGCAGGCTGGATTTGGCTGCCAGGCTATCATTTGCCAACCTCTGCCCTGCAGCCTTGCTTCTTCACCAAGTGTGTGGTCCCAGAGCAGCAGGATCAGCATCCCCAGGAGCTTGCCAGAAACGCCAACACTCAGGCCCACCCCGCTCTGCTGAATCAGCCTTCGTGGGGAAGGGGCCCAGCAACGGGTTTTCACAAGTCCCCCTGCCGCTCATGTTTGAGAAGCCTCACCTTCCATCCCTCCCTTCCACCTGAAGCCCCATGCCCCAGGGACCCAAGAGGAATCTCGGACGGCACTGACCCGATCAATAATCTTCGGGTCTATAAAGAACACCTGGAACCTCAGGATTCTCGTGAGTCAGTGAAAAGCATTTGGTCGGTGGTCCTGGGTCACCAGTAAGCAAAGCAGCAGCCAGTCCTACCCAAATAGCTCAAGGAACCAAAGCAAGCTGTGTGGTGATGGCACCCAGGAGCAGAGGGATGGGAAGTGGCAATAATTCAAGGCCTCTCCTTCCCTGCGGCCTGGATGGATGGAACCCTTTGCCGTCAGATGCCAACATGGCTCCCGGCCCAACTTGTTTCTTTCAGCAAATTTATGCGAAGGCTGGATCCCTTCGTTTTAGTGACATGTGGGGGTATAAAAGGTAAGGAGGCAGAGGCCAAAGGATATCTCTTAAGGAACAGAAGAGAGATGAAAGGTTGATAGGAAAGAAGCAATAGGATGGGAGGGGATGGGACGCTGTAAAACAGCGTCTGCCACTTGTCCATGGGAGACACTCGATCTTATAACAACACTAACGTCTTGCCTCTGAGCACCACACTGACCTAAAGTATTACCAGTTACACACTCTCCTCCCACTCAAGCCACACAACAGCCACACGACGTAGATAATCATAATCCCCGTCCAGGCTCTGGGCTCAGAGCAGTGAACGGCCATGTCCAAAACCACATTCTACAAAGCTGGTAGAGCCATGGCTCAAAGCCAGGTCCGAGGACTGCTTTCTGCTACAGAACCTCCCAGCACTGCCCACAGGTCCACGGCTCCGCTGGCGGTCAAGGAGAAATCTCACGCGTGCAAGCCTTGATTTGTGTTGACCGCACTTCATCACAGGCGCCCTGCGGGGACGGCTCACAGGGTGAACCTGTTTCTCCCTGGGACATCTCCACCTCTGTCCTACCTTTAGGCACCAGGGAAGGAGGAGATCAGACCAAAAGGTTCTGACACAGTGGTAAACAGTATAATACCAGAAGTCACACGGCCACTCTTTAATGTCGATCTCAAAAGAACTGAAATAAAAATCAAACAGGGAGGGCTCTGAAATGCTTCCCTCCACCAAAGATGCAGGGTGTGAAGAGCTGAGCCCTCATGTGGAGGACCACTGTACTCTGGGCAGGAGGCTCTCTAGCTGTCTGTCTGGGCTGCTCTTCTCTGGGGTCTACTCACCCCCGGATATTTAACCAGCTCTGAGGGCAGGACAGAAGATGCTTCACCTTCGAGTGAGAGTTCTGGTCTCCTGGCCTGCAGGCCTCCCTGCTTCCACGGAGCCGAAGGGGCCCTAGCAGACAGACTTGCCTCTTTGGAATCCATACTCCTTTGTTGTGTCCACTCTTCTTAATTCTGTGGTGTCCGGATTATCAGGCCTTTTTGTTTCAAACAGAAGACAATTTAGGAGGCCCTAAAGCATGATGGTCTGTCCAGGAAACACTGGAATCGGGTAATCGTCAACACACCTTTGCTACCCAGTTAGCCTTCGCCCCAATAGCAGCAGATGCACGAGGCCCAGTGGGGTCCAATGGCCATGGGCAGTTAAGTCAAGCAGCAGATATGGATAAAGGTAACCATCTGGCCCCTAGAAACAAGTTTAGGAATGTCAAGTTGTGGCTCAAAGGGAGTCTGACCTCCACATTTTCATAGAGCCTCTCCCCCAGGCAAGCCAGTCTGCTTCCTATGGGAGACGCACAACTTACCAGAGCCCTACTTCGAGTGGGCGGACACTTAAGGACAGACGTAGCCCTCCCTTCCACAATAGCCAGGGGCTGCCGGGGGATTGGAGTAATTCCTCTTCGAATGTGAGGTAGAATTCTCCAGCTAAGCCATTTGGCCCTGGGCTTTATCTTTCTTGGGAGGTTTTTGATCATTGATTTAATCTCGCTAATCATAGGTCTGTCTGGATTTTTAAAATCTTCACGATTCAGTCTTGGAAGGCTGCATGTTTCTTGAAATACATCCCTTTCTAGATTATCCTAGAACGTATAGATATATCATTGTCCTAGTAGTCTCTTGGATCCTTTTCATTTTTGTGACTTCAGTGTTAATGTCTCCTCTTTCATTTCTGATTGTTTTCTTTGAGTCTTTTCTCTTTTTTTCTTAGCCTAGCTAAGGGTTTGTCACTTTTGTTGATCCTTTGAAAGCACCAATTAAGTGTCGCTTTCTCGATGGCAAGAATCTCATACCCTTACAGCACAGAAATACCTGTATGTATTCATGGGTTCCAATATTCATTGACTAAAGGTTCACCTATTACCATAATAGAAAAGAATCTTCATGGAGAAGGAGGCCGATTTGTCATATTGCTGACGATTGCCCAGGCAGTTTCAATACATTCCACACTTCAATCTTTTTGACCTGCCATGTAAAAAATGCAATTTCTACCTACATTAAGGGCTAGGAGAGGCTTCAGCACTGTATATACAATTTAGTAGTTCAGAATGGAACCCTCCAGATGCCCTTCAAAAACACCTCATGTGCCAACTCTGCTATTTCATAACTAAGAAAAATGCAATGGGATCATTTTGGCAATTTTGCCTGGGAGTCTCCAATTCACACTTCACTCCCAGAGTGAAAAACCAAAACCTTCAGGCAACCAAAAAAATCAAAGTAAGACAACCTCCTTAAAAATAAAATTCCCCTTGGCAGCTAATGAATTTCTAAAACAGGTCAGCAGTTTTTCACACTCAGACAAATGGTTCACCTGCACATTACCTTCCAGAGGCAACTAGAGACAACCAAATTCTATCTCCCGTGGCTCACACAGTCTCAGTAGGGACTGCCAACAAGAAGCTATTCAAGGGCTGAGGAGGGACTCACCAAGATGGTCGGAATTACCCAATTCTCAAGGTGAAGGGCAGTGAGATACTTGACTGAGGCACTGTCCCCCAGCATGCAGACACTAGCCCCAGGTGAGAAAGCACACTTGCCCTGCGCTTCATTCTCTAGCCAGCATTTGGAAGTTCAGACAAGCCTCAGCTCTGCTTCCAGAAGCCAACAGAGCCACCAACCGGAAAGGGAACGATGGCTCATACAGCATCTCAGACAGCTGGGTCTTTTGGCTTCAACACTGTCCTGATGACATACTGGCCTGGCTTCTCTCTGCTGGGACTCAGACTCGCAGTGAGTCCCAATTATTTAATCAGGGTTTCTCAGGGTAGTCATTTGTCACATTCAGCATGTGCATTCCAACTATCTATACAAGTTTGATAACTTTGTTTGTATCTATCTATCTATCTATCTATCTATCTATCTATCTATCTATCTATCTTAGAGAAAGTGCAAGAGGAGAGAGAGAATGAACAGGGAGAGGGGCAGAGGGAGAAAGAATCTCAAGCAGGCTCAGTGTGGAGCCTGACATGGGGCTGATCCCATGACCCTGGGATCATGACCTGAGCTGAAATCAAGAGTCAGATGCTCACCCGACTGAGCCACCCCGGTACCCCGAGAACTTTGTTTTTAATTAGATGAGCAGCATAATTATGGTAGAAAACTTGGACAATCTAGAAAAACATTAAGAAAACAAAAATCATTCATGCTCTTTTATGAGTCAGAGAAAACTAACCCTAACACTCTGGTAAAGGTGCTTCAAATGCTTAAGAATGTTTCCAATACAGAACATTATAAGCATAATATTTAGGGTCATGAAAAGTAAGGGCTGGCATTTGTAAAGCTCTCGGGAACTATGCCTGGTACAGTAACTTGTTGGGAGATACTATGGGCACTTGTTAGAAATGCAGATCCCTGGGTATACCCCAGACTGCTTAAGAGGCATTTCTTTCTTTTTTTTTGTTTGTTTATTTTTGAGAGAGAGACAAAGCACAGTGGCGGAGGGGCAGAGAGAGAGAGAGAGAGAGAGAGAGAGAGAGAGAGAGAGAGAATATGAAGCAGGCTCCAGGCTCTGAGTTGTCAACTCAAACTCACAAGCTGTAAGATCATGACCTGAACTGAACTCAGACGCTTAAATGACTGAGCCACCCAGGCGCCCCTAAAAGGGGCATTTCTGAAGAAGGCCTGGGCATCTGCATTTTAAGCATTTCCTCACCTCATCCTTATAATCAGGTAAGTCAAAGTGTTCAGCATTCAGGCTGCTACTGGAAGCTACTGTTGGCAGCTTCCTAATAAAGTCCCTTATCTAAAAATGCCCATTTTGTGTTTGTACTGAACTGACAATCTGGTCGGGTAGAGAATATACTGTCTTTTTTTCAGTTTTTTAAAAATAACAGCTTTGAGCTATAATTCATATAACATAAAACACAAAAATGTACAATTCAATGGACTGTAGTATATTCACAGAGTTGTGTAAATATCACCACAATCAATTTTAGATCATTTTCATCCTCCTAAAAAGAAATCCTGTACCCACTGGCGGTCACTCCCCATTTCCCTTCAACCACACTTCATCCCAGCCTCCCAGTCCTAGGCAACCATCTACTGTCCGCTTCCATCAATTTGCCTGTTCTGGACCTTCTTCCATGTTGCAGCAAGTATCAATACTTCACTCCTTTTTATTCATGAAAAACGTCCCACTGTATGGACATGCCACATTTCGTTTATCTATCTGTCAGACAGCTGATGGACATTTCGGTTGTTTCTCCATTTTGGCTATTATGAATAATGCTGCTGTGAATATTTGTGTATACATGTTTTATGTGGATATAGGTTTTCAATTCCCTTGGGCACCTTCCTAGGGGTGGAATTGCTGGGTCATAAGACTCCATATTTAACTTTTTGAGGTAACGAAAGACTGTTTCCCAAAGTGCCTGCACCACTTTACGTTCCTACCGGCAGTAAGGTGAAGCTTCTAATTTCTTTGCAGGGACATACTTGCCAACACTCATTGTGTTTTTGATTCTAGGCATCTTAGTGGGAATGAAATGGTATCTCACCATGGTTTTGATCTACATTTCCTGATGGCTAATGACTCCGAACATCCTTTCATGTGCTTATTGGCCATTTGTTTATCTTTGGACAGACATCTATTCAGGCCCTTTTCTCATTCTGTAGTTGGGTTGTCTTTTTATTATTGAGTTGTAAGAGTTTCTTTGCATTTTGTTTTTTTAGTGATTAGTTATATTTGAGAGAGAGAGGGAGAGAGTGCACACAAGCAGGTGAGGGGCAGAGAGAGGGAGACACAGAATCTGAAGCAGGCTCCAGGTTCCGAGTTGTCAGCACAGAGCATGATGCAGGGCTTGAACCCATAAACTGTGAGATCATGACCTGAGCCGAAGTCGGATGCTTAACCGACTGCACCACCCAGGCACCCCAAGGTTTCTTTTTAAATAGCAGGGTCATCAACATTTTCCTCCTAATACTTATCTATTTGTTTGTTTGTTTGTTTATTTGTATTTATTTTTAAGTAGGCTCCATGCCCAGAGCATAGCCCAATGAGGGGCTTGAATTCACAACCCTGAGATCGAGATCTGGGTTGCAGTCAAAAGTTGGATGCTTAACTGACTGAGCCACCCTGGCATCCCCTCCTATGCACCAATGGCTATGTTTTAATTTTTTTTTTTTAACATTTATTCATTTTTGAGAGCACGAGTGGGGCAGGGCAGAGACAGAGGGAGACCTAGAATCTGAAGCAGGCTGCAGGCTCTGAGCTGTCAGCACAGAGCCTGATGTGGGGCTCAAACCCACGAACCATGAGATCATGACCTGAGCCGATGTCACAGGCTCAACCAATGGAGCCACCCTGGTGCCCCACCAACAGCTATGTTTTAAATACAGATGAGCCCCAATATTTTAAGAGCTTTTTTTTCTGGAAGATGTTATCAGGTTGCTGTAAATCAAAATTTATTTAAAAAGCTTATTCACAAGAGGATGCACAACATCCTGTTTGGGAGAATAATCACTTTCTAATTTAGTTTCCACGTAAACTCAAACTTTCCTGGATTGCATCTATTTATAGCACCTCTGTGTAAAACTCCATTTCTCATTCTTCCAGCAACTGAATGGAGGTCACAAAGGTTACTGGACACCAGGACAACCAAAGAGACAGGCACTGCACACGGCCAGTGCGTACAAGAGAGATCATTCAGTGTGGCCAGGGAGATAAAGCAAACAGAAAACCCTGCTGCAGCAAGGCCAATGGTAAGGACCAGAGAAGTGCAATCATGTCATGAGATGCTGAATGATTCCTTCAGGGGCAGCAATAAATAACTCGGGTGCTCAGAGAGGATTAAGGGCATCAGGAAGGCCAGGACCTCAACGGGTGTAGCTGCTCTCCAGGCAGGGGTGAGGCTGGGACTTGGCATCTACATGCTTTAAGGATGTGGGCAAAAGGCCAGAGGGTTGGCAATGCTTGGGACGGCAGTAGGAGTTGTGGAGGGAGAGGGCGGTTGGGCCACCCTTGGAATGGCGGGCTAAGGAGTTCAGAATTTACTCACCAGGCAGGCATGATGGAACCAGCGGCATTTTTTGGAAACAGGTATTTCTGGCATCAGCGTTTCGGAGTTGGCATATCTTCAAAATCTCCTTTGGCAATGGGAGAAGGTCACGTGACTGAGGGTGGGCTAGTCATCAGGAGGATTTGTTTTAATGCCATGTTGCCTAGAAGGCTGGCGGATGGGCAGATAGCAGCACATCGGGAGCTCAGCCGGGCTGGCCTCTACACTTCTCCCGGCTGCCTTTGCATCTTGGCAGCAGACGTGCGTTCTTGGGAGAGGGTTCTAAGCCTGATGTCCCAAGCTGGCTTATTTCATGGGTCCCCCTAAGAGCCTCCACTCTGGGTGATGCCATCCTCCTGGGAAAGTGATACTCCTCCGCTTGGTGGGTTCAAATGCTCAATGGAGTATTTTACAGTTGGCCGCTGGTCCTTTGGGACTTTTCCTGAGACTACTGAGGGATGAGAAGGAATAGCATACAGCACACAACTAATCTTTGGGAAGGACCTGGCAGTGCGTTGGGAGTACAGGAAGCCATGTTACTTTAGCATCGGTTTTATGTGAAGATTTGGGGCTGAGGTGGGGAAGAGGTACTATCACAGATAAATCTCTACTCAGCACCTGCTACAGACCTGATGTTTGTGCGCCTCTGAAATTCCTATGTTCACACCTAATCCCCAGTGTGACGGTGTTTGGAGGTGGGGCCTCTGGAAGGTGATTAGGCTCCACCCTCATGAACAGGATTAGCGTCCTTATAAAAGAGAGCCTAGGAAGCTCACTCTCCCCTTGTGCCGACAAAGATGGCCAAATATGAACCAGGAAGTAGGTCCCCCATTAGACATCCAATCTGCCTTCGTATTGGACTTCCCAGCCTTCAGAACTGTGAGAGGGAAATTTCTGTTGTTTATAAACAATCCGGTCTATGGTATTCTGTTATAGCAGCCAAAATGGACAAAGACAAATTGAAAATCAAAGCCAGAAATATCGTAGAGGAAAAAGCTCACAGGAATTAAAAATATCAGATACAAAACGCCCTCCCCCAAATTTTACCCGGGTAGCTTCATCCTCAGATCCCTGAGAGAATGAGCTTTACTCTCAGAGGTTTGGGATGTTTGGGTTGAAAAAATGTAATAAACACAGGCTTATAGAAACAAGACTCGTGAATTTAGATACCTACTGTGACATTTCTTTTCTGCTGAGTGTTCAAAAATAGACAAGCTCCTTCCACTACTGTAGGAGCAAGCATATGATCCGTGGCTTAGCACGGACTTTTCTCTGAAGGACAGCTGATCATGGCGGCTTTTTAAAGGTTGCCAGTAACACTGCATTATTATTGGAACCTCTTTTTCCTCCTGCAACTAGTTATACCTAAACACCCCTTGGTCTATTTCACAACTTAAATAGGTGTGTAAGGATCCCCGGGGGTGGTCATAGGTCAGTGCTCCCATTAAAACCAGAATCAGGTGCCAGTGCCAGTGGAGCTGACGTTTTAAACAGTTCACTAAACTCCCTCCTGGGCGAGATGATGCGGGAGACCCCAGTCTCCTCTGCTTTAGATGAGTTTAACAGTAATAATTCCCTAACTGAGGAAAATGAGACTGCTACCTTCTTCACCTGTCTTAGAGAAGCGGGAGGCACAGTTCCATGTAGAGAAGGCCACACCAAAACAAGCCAGTAAGCCTGAGAGGGCTACGTAAACTGTGGCTTGTCCACTGGAGGCAGAAAATGTTAACAAATAGGTTATTATATATATAATAATATATTGTTTATATATATAAATATATATATATTTTTATTTTTCATATATATATTTATATATATTTATATTTATTTATATATATTTATATATATATTTATATATATATTTATATATATATTTATATATATATATTTATATATATATATAAAATGGTTTTACGTTATATATATATTTATATTTATTTATATATTTATATATATATTTATATATATATTTATTTATATATATATAATTTATATATATTTATATATATATAAATTTATATATTTATATATTTATATATATATATTTATATATATTTATATATATTTATTTATATATATTTATATATATATATAAAATGGTTTTACGTTATAAGCAAACGGCTTCACAACCAGACTCCCGACACCTTACTTTATTGGGGTTTTTTTATTGTTATTACTGTTTTCAGTAGGTCTCATGCCCAGCACAGAGCCCAACGTGGGGCTTGAACTCACAGCCCTGAGATCAAGATCTGAGCTGAGATCAAGGTCGGATGCTGGGGCGCCTGGGTGGCTCAGTCGGTTAAGCGGCCGACTTCACCTCAGGTCATGGTCTCACGGTCCGTGAGTTCGAGCCACGCGTCGGGCTCTGTGCTGACAGCTCAGAGCCTGGAGCCTGTTTCAGATTCTGTGTCTCCCTCTCTCTGACCCTACCCTTTTCATGCTCTGTCTCTCTCTGTCCCAAAAATAAATAAACATTAAAAAAAAATTAAAAAAAAAAAAAAGAGTCGGATGCTGGCTGTGCCACCCAGGCGCCATGACACATTTTGATTGTTCTTAATGGTGCAATAGGTTATACTGCAAACCACTGGTGAAAAATTAAAAGCCTGATCATTGTAAACAACATAGAAATGAAGGGGAGCAACATGGGGCTGACATATCCAAGTCAAAGTTTGCCAAAAATACCCAAAATTCACGTTCCAGATTCAAGGCCACTCGTGGCTGCATCCACCAAAGTTTTTGCAGGGATGTCAGTAACTAGCAGAGCTGGTCAGCTTTGGCCTTGGCCTGCATCATGTTGTAGAGGAGAACAAAAGAAACAGCTAGTACTCCCTGAGTCCATATCACGAACGAAAGGATTCCTAAAGATCACCGCCAATCGCTACAACAGCTTGACAATGTTGGCAATTTTGTCCACGTTTTAAAAACGGAGAAATAGAGGCAAAGTTGGCAATTTGCCCAAAGCCAACAACAGGCGGAGGATTTGCACCTGATCTTCTGATATCAAAAGGCCATACTCACTTATAAGATCTTTGGCCACTTCTGAGTTACGCTCAAAAAACCAGAAAGGGATCTAGCTGTCCAGACTCCTTGGGTAACAGACACCATTCCGGACAACCTCGAGTGCAAAAGGGGCTCTTGTCGCAAAGCTCTCAGTCTCTAGGCGACAAGGGCGGGATGACTTGGTCTCTGGTTCAGGAACAACAGGGAACTATTTATGCGCAAGCACTATTAGGAATAAAAGTCACAGACCTACATTGTGGGCAAACGTTACCAAGTTTGAGGGTCAAAGTCTGGCCACGTTGACATTAACTTATAAATACGTTTTTTATGCAGAGAGAAAACAAACTACCTAAGACAGAGATGGAGAATCCGGGGAAAACGTGGAAATGGTTGTTTCATCATTACAGCTGAGTCCAGGAAATCCATGAACGCGTCTCCAGGAAGCAAACTGGGGACAGGCGGCCTGACAGACAAGTGACCAGTGGAAAGCTACCAGAGGAGGCCCATGACAGCCGCCGGCTGTCCCTTTTGCTACCCCCCCCTCCCCAAGTGCCATGCTGGCCTCAGGAGCTCTGCAGCTGCCAGATGTGCACCCCGGGGGGTTCCCCCCCCGCAGTCTTCCAGCCAGACCATCTGAATTTCTCTTGGCTTGAACATCCCTGGGCCACTTGATAACTATTATGCCGGACCTCACTGCCTCCTTGCTTCTGTAGGAAAGGGCTGGCACCTGGGTCAATGTCTTTGGTAAGAGCGCATGAAGCTCTCCGTGAGGTCTAACCCTGCCCAGCCCCCAAAACATCTACTTTGGAGAAGCAGGAACCAAGATCTACCAAGATGCTGTGGGGAACACAAGACGTCCCCTCCGCCGCTTCTGTCTCTGGATTTCTTTGTATCCCAGCCACGTGGAAGGAAAATGTCGCCCATGTGGTCAATGTCAGGGCTCTAGCCTCTAAGGGAGAGACTACAGCAACTTAGTCTCCAGTTTCAGTTCTTAGAGAACACTCTGAGTGACCCAGTTTGGGTCAGGTGCGGGCCCCTCAACCACACAACAGTGGCCTGGCTGGGCCAGGTGTGGAGGGTGAAATATCACCATGAGTGAACGTGGCTATTGCTGCTGCCATGATATGTAAAGAGAAGGGCTGATGATTCTTAGAAACTCTGTGAGCAAAGAACTCAACAGGTGTTCATGACCAGGACAGCATTAAAAGTGGCCCAGCCAGTTGAGTGGCTCAGTTGGTTAAATGTCTGAATTCGGTTCAGGTCATGACCTCAGGGTTTGTGAGCCCTGCATCAGGCTCTGTGCTGACAGTGTGGAGCCTGTTGAAATTCTGTGTCTCTCTCTCTCTCTCTCTCTCTCTCTCTCTCTCAAAAAGAGGGAGAAGCGACTTACCTATCTATGAGGAGGTTAAAACTCTTATAGGGAAAATACTAAACTTGGTGCCAAGCAAAATTTAAATTATTTTCATGCCAGCTCCTCACTGACTCCAAATGCTCCCAATAAGTGATGCACACACTACTAAAGAATAGTTGAAAGATGACCAAATAATTGCCTTCCTGACCACTCCAAGCAGAAAAACACAAGAAGCCATCTGATTAATACAGAGTTAGTACGTAATGTTGGAATAGTCTAAATTGGATTGCATGCTAACTTGGGTGCTTGAACCGCTAGCTGAATAGCTCTGGCACCTGTAGGTTTTTTCCTCTCAAATACATATTAGGCTCAAGTTCCAGGTACCTTGAATAAAGCTTTTTCCCCACAGGAAGAGAAGTGCATCATTTAGCACTGAGGTCAGCAAACTTATTCTGCAAGGGGCCAGATAGGAAATATTTTAGGCTTTGCAGGACAGACAGTTGCAATAACTCATGTCCGTGGTTGAGGCCTGAATGGGCATGGTTGTGTTTGAACCAGAACTTCTGAAAACAGGCAGCAGGCCAGATTTGGCCCCCCGGCTGTAGTTTGCCGACTCCTGATCTAGCAGATTACCGTTTCCCTTCATAGCAAACCAGGTTTGGGATAACGCGGTGGGGCTCCCTACCCAGGAAGGCACATTCCTCCTCACCGGAGCATTTCAGGGAAGAAGTCAGGACTTGCCTCTCCTTCCTCCCGACGCTCCTGAGAGCGGCCTTCACCCCTTCATCAGTCCACGCTCATGCACACTCACATTGCACACGCACGCTTTTGCTAGCTGTCTGTTTTTCTCTCTCTTCCCACTCTGGTCTTTTGTTCTCAGCAGATTTTCAAGTGGACGAGCCGATGTCTGACCCGAGTCTCACTGAGGTCCGCAATATTGTTTAAATAGCGCCACGTTTTCCTGGGAAACAATGCTGGCGTGGCTCTTTCTCTAACAGGAAACTATGCCTCTGACATGTGCATTTTTATACTCTGTCTTCCGGCTGGGCCATATAAGTAAAAGGGCCTGTCCTTAGCAGACACCAGTGCTGGTTTTTGAAGCCCAAAGCAATTTCCAATGCATGAAACCTCCAGAAAAGGAAAGCCATTGTCGCCCAAGAAGCACAAAGATGCTTTAAAATAATTTTGGCGGGGGTTGGGAGAGGCGCCTGGGTGGCTCAGACAGTGAAGTATCAAAGTCTCGATTTCGGCTCAGATCACGATCTCATGGTTCATGAGTTCGAGCCCTGCATCGGTCTCTGCACTAACAGCACGGAGCCTCTCTCTCCCCCTCTCTCTGTTCCTACCCTGCTCATGTGCTCTCTCTCTCTCTCAAAATAAATAAACTTAAAAAAAAAAGTAAGTTTGGCAGGGGTGGGGGTGGGTAGAGAAGGAAGGAAGTTACCCCAAATGAAGAACTGGAAGTAAAATAAGATGATGGAGTCAAAGAAAGTCACTACTGTTTTCCAGGTGATTTTTGGGGGGGACAGAAACTAAGTTGACACAGAGTTTCAAAGGTGAAAGGAAACAACATCTCCTTCCTCCCTCACCTTAACTACCACACACACCCCCTCACCTCCACCCCCGGCCTGCACCACACCCTGACTCCAGGAAAAAACAAAGACAAATGCCAAGGAAGGGAATCAGGTACGTCTTGAAGAAATGTAAGTTAATCCAATTCTATTTTTTTTTAATTTTTTAATTTAATTTAATTTTTTTAAAATTTTTTTAACGTTTATTTATTTTTGAGACAGAGAGAGACAGAACATGAACGGGGGAGGGTCAGAGAGAGAGGGAGACACAGAATCGGAAACAGGCTCCAGGCTCTGAGCTGTCAGCACAGAGCCTGACGCAGGGCTCGAACTCACGGACAGGGAGATTGTGACCTGAGCCAAAGTCAGATGCTTAACCGACTGAGCCACCCAGGCGCCCCTATTTTTTTTTTTTTTAATAACAGCTTTGTTGAGATGTAATTTACACATCATAAAATTCACCCATTTAAAGGGTACGACTGAATGGGTTTTAGTGCCTTAGAATTGTACAGCCATCACCACAACTGGGGGACATTTTCAGCACACTGCAGAAACCCCTTCCCCATCCGCAGCCACTCTTCATTCCGGGGCCACTGCCATCCGCTGCCCTAAGCAACCACTCATCTATCGCTACAGATCTGCCTCTGCTGGGCACTTGATCATGGAAGCGGCATCATACGTCACACAGCCCTTTGTGTCTGGCTTCCTTCACTTAGCATAATGCTGCCAACGTTCAGCAATGTTGTGGCAGGAATCAGTGGCATGTATTTCAATGTCTGGATAACATTCCACTGTATGATACACTACATTTTGTCTATTCATCGGCTGATGAACACTTGGGTTGCTTCCCTTTTTTGGCTCTTGTGAATAATGCTGCTATGAACCCTCATGTACAAATTTGTATGTTACCATATATCTTCATTTCTCTCTTTTTTTTTTTTTTAAACTTTTATTTATTTTTGAGAGAGAGAGAGAAACAGAGCCTGAGCAGGAGAGGGGCAGAGAGAGAGAGGGAGACACAGAATCTGAAGCAGGCTCCCAGCTCTGAGCTGTCAGCACAGGGCCCGAGGCGGGGCTCGAACTCACGGACTGCAAGATCATGACCTGAGACGAAGTCAGACGCTTAACCGCTAACCGATGGAACCACCCAGGCGCCCCTCTTCGTTTCTCTTAAATCTAGTCCTATTTTGGATGTACAAGGGAAGCCTGCTGAGGATCTGAGGGTGTGGCCCGGCGGGGGTCAGTGTAGATGTTTAGATAACAGACATACAGGATGTCTAGTCAGAAGGAGCGGAAGTTTTTCCAGATACTCCCTCTCCTACACAGCTGCTCAGAGCAGAACAGGACTGTATGAGGAAATACACATGGGCCTCAACTTTCAAGTTCAATTTTGGCACATTACTGATTGCAACCCCAAAGGCCTTTAACGTTAAGCATCCTGACGTCAGCTGACAAACCAATATTTCCACCAAGGGTTGTTTTTTTTCTAGGGTGGTTTTGACAGCTCTGTCTGTCATGCCTACTTTCACAGCAGAGCAAGTTTGCACAAATATCTGAATATTTTGTGGCCTCTTAGCCTTATTAGGCTTTTAAAGTGGGTGGGAAGTAGAAAACTGGAATTGCTGGTGCCAGTGGTAATATTGTTAACCACACGTTCACAGGATGAAAGCCACTGGACTGGTCAACTGAGAAGGACAAGCTTAACATGTAGGAAATGCTGAAAGTCACTCTCCAAAGAGCAACTGCAAAGCAAGGTGATGAAGTGATAAAACCTTTAAAAGCATGGGCTGAGGACTAATACTTCAAAAAATAATCCAGCATGGGGCGCCTTGGGTGACTCAGTCATTTGGGTGTCTCGATCTTGGCTCTTGATCTTGGCTCATGTCATGATCCCATGGTGTGGGATCCAGCCCTGCATCGGGCTTCACGCGGGCTGTGGAATCTGCTTAAGATTCTCTCCCTCTCCCCCACTCCTCCCCCACCCTCCCCATCCCTCTCCCCCACTCACACATGTGCACTCTCTCTCTAAAATAAAAAAAATAAAGAGGCACCTGGGTGGCTTAGTCGGTTAAGCATCTGACTTCGGCTCAGGTCGTGACCTCACAGTTTGTGGGTTCAAGCCCCGTGTCGGGCTCTGTGCTGACAGCTCAGAGCCTGGAGCCTGCTTCCGATTCTGTGTCTCCCCCTCTCTACCCCTCCCCCACTCATGTTTTCTCTCTCTCTCTCTCTCTCTCTCTCTCTCTCAGAAAATAAAAAATTAAAAAATTTTTTAATTAAAAAAATTTCTACTTTAAAACGTAATATTTAAAAAATAGTGAAAGAAAATTCCTATCTTTTAGAGCTCCAGACTAAAATATTTACAGATGAAATGAGATGTCATCTAGGATTCCCTTCAAAATCCTCCTGGAGGAAGAGCAGGTAGGAATAGAGATGAAACAACATTGACTATAAATTAGCAATTACTGAAACTGGGCAGTGGCCACGTGGGAGTTTATTATGCTCAGTTTGAAACTTCCCGTAAAGAAGTAAAAATAAAATCACATATTCCTAGATGCAGAGAGAAGTTCCCAGGGTCTTGGCACCACCAACAGGGCAACTATTGGCTGCAGACACCTTGATATCAAAGGAGGAAGACTGGGCTTGAAATTCTTCCTGATTAAATTCTTCGAACTGGTAATTATACTGACATGGCTCAGAAACTGAAAAGTGTAAGAAATCAGACAGTGGGAAGTCTATCACCAATCCCCTTTGGGGTCCCTCTCTTGCTACACCTTTCCCTCCCTAACCCCTTGAGGCAAGCACTGTTATCAGTTTCCTGGGTACCTTTCCAAAATTATACTTAGCTCCCCTACTCCCCACCCCTTGCTGTCCTGACTTAATGCATTTTGGAGACGTGTTCCAAGATCTTAGAATGCATCCTTATTTCTCAATCAACTGCTACATACTCTTCCCAAGTACACAGTGTCTCTGATAACTTCCCTGTTGGTGCACATTTTGCAGCTGCCAAGAATCACCTCGTACAGATACCATTTTGTAGGTGTTCGGGTGTGCTGTGGGCAAATGTATACAGAAGTGGGACTACTGAGTCAAAGAATATTTGTATTTAATCCTGGTGATGGCTATTGTTAAATGGCTGTTCATAAAGGTTAGACTTTCATTTACTTCTGTTTGCTTTACCACCAATAATAGGTGAATGTAAAAATAAATCCTGGACAGAGTTATGACCATCGCTTGCCTCCTCCTCGACAGCAGTATTCAAGGAAGACGGACCAAGTCAGACATGAAGAATTTACTTCAGAACAGTCATCACAATTGTCCACACTTACTGCTTAATCCATGTTTTAAGTACTTGCATAAAAAATAAATTAACACTTACTAAGCAGCCCCTGAA